TGAGGAACCTAGACACAGGCGGTTTGACACACCAAATCCCTAGACTACCACAAAAGGGCACAGGGAGTCTTTCACTAACCTATTGAGACTATTCACCAGGCTGGAGTCCAACTACTTGACCAATTGGGAAGACAGTGCCATTCTATCATCTGGTGGCACACAGCCTAGCTAGACCGTAAGATCTGGTTGGTGTAAGGATGAGGTATAAGAGGAGGCAGAGCCCCAAGAAACAACAAACAGAAGCACTCATGAGGGCAGGTGTAGACCATCAAGGATCCTCCCCTCTTACTAAAAAGATCAAGATGTGGTAGGTGAAATGGAGGGAGTGCCCTGCTAATATGAGCCAGCAAGGCCAAGCTGTCAGGTCCCAAGAGCTGGCACTCGGCAGATTGGAGCACTAGATCTCAGCGGCAGAGTCAAACAAGGCACAGCTGCCTACACAAGTACTAAATAAATGCGCAATAACTAGAGTTACTGTGCAGTAGTGCTGGTGAACATCTTTTAGGTGATGCTACTGCACAGTAGCTTAATAATACTGCACAGTAGCATATTAGCATTGTCCATGCTGTGATACACTACTGCACCATATTTTTCAGCTACTGTGCAGTCAGCATCTCATGTAGATGTGCCCTATATCTAAGAAGGGAAAATGAATTTGGACAAAGTCTTGCATCAATAGTTTGCAATGCTTTAGAACAGGAATGACCACTCCTAAATCAGGCCTATTGACTGGCCTAATGAATTGGGCACTATTGCTTTAGAACAAATTTTGAAGGAAAGAATCATTACAGATATGGCGGGAAATGGAGTAAAATGCAAAGTAGGTTTACCAAAGGCAGAGTACATCAGTCTAATTTGATCATCTTTTTTAGGAAGGACTGATTTTTCTAGATAATGGAAATGTGGTTGATCTCATCTATCTGGACTTCCAGATAGCATTTGCAGTGCACAGGTAAAAATTTTAGTTAGGCTGGAAAAGATGGGGATTAGTAGAGGAGTCAGAAGGTGGGAAAGAAACAGGTTAAAGGGGAAAAATGGGTTGAGCTGAGAAGGGACATATGGGGCTGTAAGGAGGTTAGTAATGGAATTCCTCAAGGATCGGTCTTAGGACCAATCTTAATTGCATTAATGATTTTGGTACAAAAAGTAAGATTGTGCTGATGAACTTGAGGGATAGGAGAAAAAGTAAGAGGGAGCATCTGGATAATCAGAGAACTGGATTACCCTTAGCGATGGAATAATAGAAAAGGGAAGATAGTCAGTACCACAAAATGCAAAGTCACGGATTAGGGAGGAATAACAAGAATTTCTGTTATACTTATGAGGCACATCATTTGGCAATTATGGGTGTTCCCATTTATTACAGGCTGACTGTACCACCAACATGATGTACCTGTATAAACAAAACAGATGCAATCTTGTGCTATATCATGTAAGGCATTCCAAAAGAGAGAGGGGAAATATTAATGCTATTGTCCAAGGCGCTAGTTAGGCCTCCTCTGAAATACTGTGTACAGTTCTTCCATATTTCAGGGATATAGGTTGTAGCTATGTTGGTCTAAGAACATAGGCAGACAAGGTTCTTTGGGTAAATCTGATATCTTTTATTAGATATTTATTATCTTTTATTTCCAACTATGTTAGTTGGTCTAATAAAAGATATCAGATTTACACAAAGAACCTTGTGTACACAGTTCTAGCACTTTAATTTTCACTTGGTGTGCTCCCACACTGAGCCCAGCACGTGTTCAGAAGAGGCATCATGTCAGTTGGACCCAGCTCGCCCAACGTCTGTATAGATCAGACACTTTTTAGTAAGGATTTTTGGCAATTTTATCTAATAGCTGATTGAATCAGCCTTTCACACAAGAGATGAATAAAGTGCATGGCTTGTTTAATCCAGCAAAATGAAAGCTGAGAGGGATATGATCGGGGGTAAGTATCATGGAGGAAGATGGGTTATTTAATCTAAAAGACAGTGTTGACACAACAAATAATAGGTATACATTAGCCAAGGATAAAGTTAGGCTGGAAACTAGAAATCTCTAACTACTATAGGGACAGAAGAGATTGCAGAATAACCTTCCAAGAAGAGTAATATGAGCTGGGGTTTGCAAGAACAGGGGAGGTTTTTCCAGTCCTATGCCCCTAATTGCTCCTGGTAACTTCATGGGCATAGTTATTCTTGACAACTCACCTCCACACCCAAAGTATCCAATACACCTTTGAATTACATTCAGACAGCTGACAGTGCCACCTTTTCACTATTGCTGGGACTTGTTAATTGGTTATTCTTATATTTGAACATGCTCTCTACTTTATGAAATGCATCAAGATGTTCTGATCTAACTTCTCATGTTGATCTGCTTGTGCCTTCTGTTGCACGCTGGTGTGGAGGTTAGTGTTTACTAAGACATCTCGTAAAGGGCTTTCAGATATATGAGTACATGGATATACAAGTCCTTTGCCTCTGAGGATTCATGTCTTTGACATGGCTTTAGCTTCTAACTCCAGCCCTAGGGCTGGCACGTGCATTGTGGCTTATCCAAAACTAAAGCTGCTAACAATATCATTTTGTAAAGCACCTTGACATGCAGGGCATGCAAGAAACTATAGAAGTCATGCTGGAAAGACTTGGAAGAAGCAATTAATGTCAGCAGCATATGATGGCTTTAACACATGTTCTAATTTTACGGCATGCTTTATAATGACTTAAAGCCTTTAGCTTTACTCTGACAAGTTGGTATTCAGGTTCTTTAATTAGTTCTATGAACAGGAAAGGAACTAAATACAGTACATATAAATTAATATAAAGCTTCAAGAATATTAGGAGTATAGCCCATGTATAACACATTTTAAAGGCTTGCTGTCAGCTCAGAGAATGTAATAGATTCTGATCCATTGTATCACCGTCAAGCTGCAATATCTGGTACCATCCATGCCTGGCAAGCAAAAACCTGAAACGGGCCACAAAATACCCCAGGACCTACTCAAATCATGAAATGGGAAGAAGAAAAGAGCCTATTTGCTTTTAGGGGTCATACTTCTAAGTTTCTCCACAAATACAGGCACTGGAATTATACTTTGTTTAAACTAAAACAGATCAGATAATCATCAGAATGCAGGAGCCGATGGTGTTTAAAAGATGGAAAACAAATATCATAAGACCTGTGATAAAATCACAAGCATTGGCAATATTTCTTGGAAATTGGCTGAGCACCTGGGTAATGCCACTTACGCTACAGAAAACCCATAACAACACATCAACCTTTGTGTTCAGTGATCAGACAGTATCTACTTTTCTTCAAGTTTACTGAGCCTCAGATTTTCTGGTAGGTGTAAATGAGTGAGAGGCCATTAAGCTAAAGATTTACCCTGCAGCAAACACTGGGTGCTCATTCCAGCATAGATTCAAGCAGGTAAGGGCCAGCTGCACCAGGAGGCCACAGTCTTAGACAGCATAGTCCCCCTTGCATCCTATGCTAAGACTAGGAGGGAAAGTGGTGCAGAGGCTGATGCACCAGGATGGTGCCAGCTAAGAACTTATTATGCCAAAAGAGATATCAGTGGATGCAGGAACAATGTCTCAGTCCACTTTGTGCTGCCAAAGAAGGAGAGGTGCAGGAGGCTTCTGCCTTGAACTTTAACTGCCCTGAACAGCCTGACCGTAAAAGCTCTGGGGAATTTGTTCAGAAAACAATAAAAATCCCAGTTATCCCATAAATAACCATAGTATTAATGTAACTACCAGACAAAAAGAATGCAGACATTCAGGCTTTAGCTGCAAGGTAAGAAAACCTAAACAATAAATGGCAAGTGGAATGCCCTAGGATCAGTGCATACTAGTAACAACTAAAAAATATTTTTTCTGTATTGATCAGTATAAACCATATCATATCACAATGATATGACTGCTTTAGTTAATATACTGTTTTCCCTCTACCAAATGGTGACAGATTTATGGGACGTTGCAGGTCAACTTTCTAGTGAAGGGATAAACAGTGATGTGGGTATAATATGCAGAATGTAACTTGTTTTATTTGCACGCATATGCCAGTTCTGTAACAGACTTGGTCAACCAGCATGTAGAGATTGCAACCCCCCAGAATGCCTGGCTTCTGGGAAGCATCATCTTCAATTTAAAAATTGTTTCTGGTCACTCCAACTTGGAGAATAAACTATCTTGGTGCCCAGCAAAACTGTGTGTAACAACATTTAGCCACAGCTTGCCTTCTGAAGATAAAATATTTGTCTGCATGTTAAGAAAAACTTGAAAAACTACAACAATGCCACTCAATGTTAGTGACATCTGCAAATGTTACCTTTTTCTATTAGAACAATGTCTGAAAATCCTTTCAGTCATTTTCAACAAATGGGAAGTGTTATGTTTTCCACTTTCTAACATAAAATATCAATATTAAATAATTGTACTGTAAGCCTCAGGGACAGAAAGATTAGGTGGATGGAACTTCCTACTGCTGCCATAAGAGAGGAAGTGAAAAGCCAGTTCTTTTTAACTTTATTTACATTAATTACATCACTTGTCCATAATTCAGCTTTTGCACTATTGCTTTTACTGGGATTTGATTTTGATTGTATACATTATCATATTTTTCCTGTACTAATGGATGGCCACAGGAGTTGTACAGAGTACGTGGCCTGGAGTTAATGGGTCAGCAAGACTGTAGAGTGTAGCGGGCAAACTGAGTTATGCTTAAGCTCTTAGCATAACTTTAGGCCTTCCCAGAACTAAGCAATTAAATTGTACAGAGTGCCTTATAAGGCACTAGGAAAAGTAAGTGTTGTGATTGGTACAGTGGGCTAACCAGGTACAGTACTTTCCCTAGAAGGAAAGGAAACCAAAAATGGAATAGGATTGGAGTATCTTATCTAAAAAGATGAGGTAAGAAACTTGAGGACTGGACAGTTTGAGATGAGAAAGTTACAAAAGTAATGGACAAACAAAGAGACAGTGTGTGTTTGTGTTGCCATCCTGGGGAGACAGGAGCAACCTTGGAATTCCTGTTCAAACAACAAAGAATCCAGAAACTAACATCCCACACACCCAGCAGAGGATCTGAGGCCAGTACCACCAAAGGTCAGTGTTATGACATCTGATAAAAACATTTGCTATGAGAGAGAGAGAGAGAAAGAGTGAGAGAGGGAAGGAGGCATGAGAGAGAGAAATAAAGAGGAGGCCATGAGAGAGAGGGAGGTATGAAAGAGAGGGGGAGACAGGGAGGCATGAGAGAGAGAGAAAGAGAGAGAGCATCACGAGAGAGAGGGGGGAGGTGGAGAGAAGGAGGCATGAAAGAGAGGAGTCATGAATGAAAGAGAGAAAGACAGAGGGGCATGAGAGAGAGAAATAAACAGTGCATCATGAGAGAGAGAGAGAGGGAGGCATGAGAAAGAGAGAGCATGATGGATAACAGACAGAGAAAGTGACAGAGGGAGGAATGAGAGAAAGCAACGGAGGGAGGCATGTGACAGAGAGAGAGATGGGGTCATGAGAGAGACAGTGAACATGATAGAGAGAAGGAGGCATGAATGAGAGAGAGGGAAGCATGAGGGAGAGAGAGAGAATGAGAACAGGAGGCTTTAGAGAGACAGACAGAAAGAAGGGGAGGCAAGAGATAGAGAGAGGATGGAATGGCAGAGAGGGGTAGGCATGAGAGAGAGAGAAAGAGAGGGAGTCATGGGAAAGAGAAGGAGAAGGAGGCACGAAAGAGAGAGGGAGCCAGAGAGAGTTAGGCATGAGGGAGTGAAAGAGACAGGGAGGAATGAAAGAAAGAGAAAAAGCAGACTTGAAAGAGAAAGAGGGAGAAATGGGGAGAGGAGGGAGACAAGAGAGAGAGAGATCAGGAGGCATGAGTGAGAGAGATAGGGAAGCATGAGAGGGATGAGGAGATAGAGAGTGATGCATGAGAGAGGGAGGGAGGGACAAAGAAGAGAGATGGAGGTATGGAAGGGAGAGAGAGAGAAGGCATGATAGAAGAAGGGAGAGAGGAATGAGGGAGAGAGAAAAAGAAAGTCTTCAGAGAGAAAGAGAGAGATGGAGGCATGAGTGAGAAGGAGAGAGTGAGAGGAAGGCATGAAAGAGATCAAGAGAGGGAGGCATGGATAAGAGAGACATGGGGGCATGAGAGGGAGAGGGAGGGAGGGAGACATGAGAAAGAACAGTGTATGAGAGAGACAGAGAGAGAGGTGAAAGAGAGAGGGAACCAAGAGAGAGAGAGAGAAGCAGGCAAGAGTGAGTGAGAGAGAGGGAGGAATGAGAAAGAGCTAAGCAGGCATGAGAGAGAGGAAGGCATGGGTGAGAGAGAGGAGGGAGGCATGGGAAGTAGGGAGAGAGAGAGAGAGGCAGAGGTATGATTGAGACAGAGGGAGGGAGGGATGGAGGGAGGGAGGCATTTGAGAGAGAGACAGGGAAGGAAGTATGTCAGGGAGGGATGTAGGGACTGAAGGTGTCATGAGAAAGAGATTGGGAGGATGAGAGACAGAGAGAGACAGTGAGACATGAGAGAGGGAAGGAGGGGAACATGAGAGAGAGGGAGGGAGACATTAGAAAGAGTGAGGGATGAGAGACAGAGAGAGAGAGACAGGGAGGCATGGGGAGAAGGCATAAGAGAGAAGGGATGAAGGCATGTGAGAGAGAGTGGGGAGGCAAGAGAGAGAAGGGGACAAGAGAGAGAAGGCAAAGTAAAAGAGAGTGGGAGGGGAGAGAGAGAGTGTGGGAGGTGATAGAGAGAGGTGGAAGTGAGAGAGACAGAGGGGGAGGTGGGAAAGAGAAAGGGAGGATTGTGAGAGAGAGGGGAAAGGCAAAGAGAGGGGGAGGGGAGAGAGAGAGTCGGGAGGCAAAAGAGTGAGGGGGGAGGCCATAGAGAGACATGAGACAAGAGGCAGAGAGCAGGGAGGCTGGTGGGGGGAAAGCAAGAAGGATATAGGGGAAGCTGGGAGACAAAGGGGGGTGAGACAAAGGGGCTGCTGAGTGAAGGAGGGGAATGTGATAGAGAGAGGAGGAGTGATAGAGGGGGATGCCATAGAGAGAGTGATGGTGAAGCTAGAGAGGGAGAGAGAGAGAGTGGGAGGTGAGCGAAAGTGGGGGAGGTGATAGAGGTGGAGGAGAGAGGAAGTGAGAAGTGGATGCAAGATAGGGAGAGGTGAGGCAACAGGGAAGAGAGAGAAGGAGAGAGACAGAGGCAAAGGGGAGAAAAAGATGGGGAGATGTTAGAGAGAGAGGGAGGAGGCAGAAGAGAGAGGGGAATCTGAGAAAGAAAGTGGGGAGGCGAGGGGGGGGAGGTGAGAGAGAGACAGGGACAGGAAAAGAATGAGAGGGGGAGGCCAGAGAGAGACATGAGGCATGACAGAGATAGCAGGGAGGCCAGAGAGAGAAAGATTGGGGGGAGAGGGTTAGAGGGGGAGCCAGGAGAGAGAGGGAAGGTTAGAAAGAGAGGAAGGGGGAGGAAAGAGAGAAGGGGAGAGAGAGGGAGGTGAGAGCCACAGGCTGCTGATAGGGAGAGGGGGAGGTGAGAGGGAGAGAGAGGGGGAGATGAGAGAGTGAAAGGGGGGATGATAAGAGAGGAGAGGGGGAGGGGAAGAGAGGGGGAAGTGAGAGAGGGAGGGGGCAGTGAGAGAGTGAGGGGGAAGGCAAGTGAGAGAGAGGAAGACGAGAGGGGGAAGCAAGAGATGGGACAGCAAAGGAGAAAAGGGGATGTGAGAGAGAGAGAGGGAGAGGTGTGGGAGATAAGGGGGAGTGGGAGGTGATGGCAGGGAGGAGACAGTGAGAGAGCAGTGGAGGTGAGATAGGGAGAGGGGGAAATGAGAGAAAGGAGGAGAGGCAAGTGGAGGAGAGAGACATGTGAGGGATGGGGAGAGCTGAGTGAGAGTGGGGGAGGCAGAAGAGATAGGGGAAGCATAGGCAATGGAAGTGGGGGTTTACTGGGCTCATCCCCCCAAACAGGGGGCAGCAGGTATGGCCGGAGGCTAGCCCAACCACAGGCTGCTGCGGCAGAGGTGAGAGGCACACACACTCAGATACCCTGCACAGCCAGGATCGCAGCCGGCCCAGCAGGCAGGTAAGTTTCTTTCTTTACCTGGGCTAGTGGGGGGCAGATTGAGACCCCACAGTGCAGGAGGCAGTGGGGTAGGGGCAGGGGCGAATCATTCACCACTGCCCCTGCCTTGTGCTGCACTGTGAGGATCATCCCACGATCCAGCCTGGCTGCGGCCCCATTCACAGTGAATGGGACCACGGCTGGGCCAGGTCATGGGACATTTAGAGCCCGGTGGCTCCTCCAGAGATGCAGCGTGGCACTGGGGAGCCAAGGGGGGGGCGGGGGATGTGCCCCTCCCATCTTTGCATGAGGCAAGGGAGGGTTGCAGCTGCAAGCTGGGATCTGCCTGCTCCCAGCCTCTGTGCCTCATTGCCACTGCTTCAAAAGTGGCACAGTGTCATGTGAGTCCTGCCACTGCAGCGAGGCACATGGTGCCACGCCATACCACTTTCCAAGCAGTGGCAGCAAGGCGTGGAGGCTGGGAGCAGGCAGAACCCAGCTCGCAGCTGCGTCCTGCCCTTGACCCATGCAAAGTTGCGGGGGGGCGGGGGGCATGTGCCCCCCTTGCCTTTGGGAGGGTGCCATATTTGAACATGCTGACAATCACTCTTTGGTGACTGGTAGCTCCTCTGCTAAGAATAGTATGACACCTCCCCATCTCCCAGCAGGGACACCATATTTGTAATTTAGTATGATCTCGAGCAAGGGGATGCAAGATTAAAAAAAACAGTTAGGAAGCCCAGGAAAATTCCAGCCCAGGGATTGGCTAGATGGCTCCCCTTAAGACCAGAGTGTCTCCCCTCTCCCAGGGTGGAGAGAGAGAGGCATGCACTGTGTGACAAGGGCTGAGAAGAGCCTGCAGCATGGTCCCACCCTGCAGCTGCCTGCTGGGCCCCTCATGGGTGGGCCACAGGCCAATGGAGAGCCTGAAGGGTCAGGCAAAAGAGAGCAGACCCCTAGAATGAGCAGGTGAAGTTCATGAGTAGCTAAAAAAATCCCTTAGGGTGGGGACACAGCTCCAGGAAACTCCTAGAGAGTGGGTAGTGATTCCTTGCTGGGCTTGGAGACTTGTGGGGGGCGGTCGGTAAGAATGTAAGAGAACCCCTGTGTGGGTGGTCATGAAAAGGACTGTGGCAGGACTGGGTCAGCTGGGTGTAAAGAGACACCAGCTAGGGAAAGGTCCCAGGATGCCAGTGTGGGTTAAGGCCCAGGGAAGCGCAACTTGAAGGTAAGCATCTGTGTGCCTGAGTGCCTAAAGGGGGAAAGTGAGCCCATAAGTGCTGCCTGATTTGTGGTGGTAGTTTGTTCTCCCTCTGTGGCTCAATTGTGTAATAACTCTGTGGGCTTGGAGAGGCTGTGCACATGTTACACAAATTGCCAAATGCTCAAATCACAAGCGAGACCTTATGAGGGAGGAGAAATCAAGATACCATGTTTATTGATTAAGACACCAAAGAACAATAAACACAGATTTTTCTGTATCCCTCCTTTTGCAATTCTCCACCACTTAAATGTTACACAAATTGCCAATTGGTCAAATTACGAGCGAGACCTTATGAGGGAGGATAAGGCAAGATGCTACGTTTATCGATTAAGCGCTTAACTAACACACATACACACACACACACACACACACACACATTCATACCCCAATTTCTGTTCTGTGCTGGTATACGTTACTAGTCTTATCAGTGCCCAGATCAACTTAGTGGCCAGCCAAGTTGATCATGAGTAGGAGCTGGGCTCCTGCCAGTCCATCTCATCAGATGAACCAATGTTCCAGGATGACATGCAGAACAAGACCCAAAATTGATACGTCTCACCCCATCTTTTATAGCCTTGTCAATTCACCCAGTCCTCTGGGCTGGTGCTGTGTTATCACTGTGTTCTTCCTTGATTGCCATTGTTCTCTTGCTGTTCTGGGGAGGATTCTTCTGGTTTTGGTCTTTTATCTGTCTGCATTCTTCATCTAGTTGGCAGCTGATGTTTTCCTTTTCCACAGATACTCTCTCACCCACACTTTCACACATACAAAGGTCGAGCA